TCCACACTGTGTAGGATGAAGTGGATCGGCACTTGTGCAAGCGCCAAGCGGCGGACAGGCACGACTGTTGTGTCCCCGCGCCCTTCCGCTGCTGGAAGGACTCCGATGACGACGACACAAACAGCTCCAACAGCGCCGCTGGCTAGGCCGGCCATGCGTATGAGGTGGTCGTCCGCTACAAGGTAGTGTAATGTTTTAGGGTTTAAGTTGAACAGACGAAATATCGTTCGTTTCATGTAAATTATGTCCGAGCTTTAATGAATTTTGTCGTGTTTGTGTTGCTCAAATTTGCTTTGAAATGAATGCGAACATGGTTGGATGGCCGGCTTCTGTATCCATGTCCGCAGACAAGTATAGTGTGTGTTTCAGCGGACGGCGTTGGCAGTCATTTATACAAAAGCTTCTACGATAAGCAAATGTTTCCATCGACCTACATGGATTGCCATGTCAAAAAGGAGAAAAGGTACCCGGATTGACAGAAAGCCATCCAATTCCACAACTCCAATTGTCATTGCATCGTCAAACTGAAAACCCTCATCACTGTGAAACTAATACGATGGCAACAAGTTAAGAACGCACTCATCTCTCCACAAACAATATGTAAATGTAAATTGCACAGCACGTACGCATCACTAGCTTATGTTCGTAAGCAATTTTATCCTGCTTTGCAACGGTCTCTTGACTCTTCAAAAATTTATCCGTTAAGAGGGCACAACTCAGGCAGAGGTCGAGACTCGAGAGGTAGATCGATCTAGAAAAATGAACAGAGAGATCTGGAGAGATGGAGAGAGGAGGAGCGTTGCTGACTGGACGGCCGCGACAAGGACGTCCGCTGGTGAGACGTCAGCATCATGGCGCTCCCAACAGCCGCTACAAAACCCGCCCTGAGCTTCCCCGCTAGCTTCAAGAACCCATCGTCGGGAGCGCGTACTTGCATTGGAAATGCCTGACTCTGAGCTGAACAGCCCGGCGTCTTCGTCCGCCTCGCCGCCGCCATCGCCGACCACGGCGGGAGGCGGAGTTCTGGAGAAGAGGGAGAGGGATTCCGGAGGCAATGGCGCGGGCGGCCGGCACCGGGGGTACCGCGGCGTTCGGATGAGGGCGTGGGGGAAGTGGGTGTCCGAGATCAGGGAGCCGCGCAAGAAGTCGCGCATCTGGCTGGGCACCTTCCCGACGCCAGAGATGGCGGCGCGCGCGCACGACGCCGCCGCGCTCGTGGTGAAGGGCCCTGCAGCCGTGCTCAACTTCCCGGAGCTGGCCTCGTCCCTGCCGCGCCCGGCCTCCGCCGCGCCCCACGACGTGCAGGCCGCGGCAGCCCGCGCCGCGGCCATGGACCCTGCCTCTGTGGGCGCGGGCGTGAGCACGGAGCCAATGCCAGCGGCTGCGACGTCGCCCCTGTGGCGCCGCGGACAGATGTCGAGCCAGGTCGACGACGAGCTTGAGGAAATCATCGAGCTGCCATCCATCGACGAGGACATCGCGGCCGCCGTTGAGGTCGCGTTCGGGGGCACGTTCTGGGAAGACCCCGTCACCGAGCCGTGGTACGAACCAGCGTGGCTGGGGGAGCACGCGGGCATTGGCTCGCACGACGAGCTGGCCGTGCCCGCGCTCGGTCTGGAGCCGTACCAGTTCTGGGGGCAGCCCGATGGCATCGCCGCGTCCGGGTTCGGTGCGCTCTTGTGGAACCTGTAATAGTAGCAAATAATCCGTCACTCTCGCTCTTTCTTGACTTGTGAATATGGAATTTCTTTCTCTCTTGTCAGCTTCTAATTTTTTCGTCCTTTAGTTTGACTATTTCTGGCTACCCATGCCTGTGATCTATAGGTGGTTGATACTGATGCACATTAATAATGATCGGTGCCTCAGTACACGTCTGTAAGCAAGTTGTAGATACGTACATGTACATGCAATCATGCAATGCAATGCCAATATATGTACGTACCTGAACTGTACGTAAAAATCTCTTTCTAGCTCTACATGTCGTATTCAGACACATACAGCTGTCCATATATACATGTAAAACGATTGGAGGCAGAAAAAGTTTTGATGCCTCGGATTCTGATTGCTCTTGGCACTCGTTCTTGTTTGCCAAATGCCTTTCACAAATATCTCGGTACGGCAGCCGGCAGGCATCATGTACTTGCGAGAGAATAACTACGCATATAGGAGTGTTCGCATGTGTGATATGTCTATAGTGCAGCACTACTCGAGTGAGGGCTTTTGGCGGGCGACCTCCATGGAGGTGGATATTTTAAAAAATACAATAATTACATTTTAGAGTTTCAAAAAAATCTGAAAAAAATTCTGCACATTCATATGGATGTATTCTACATGTGTATAAAATCTCACAACGAAATACAGTATGGTGAGAGCTACACGAAAAAGAGAAAATTGTGCATTTCTAATAGTGAACAGTGGTCGCACTGTTCATCAGTTTGAAAATCACGATTTGTCTTTTTTGTGTAGCTCTCATCATAATGTATTTCATCTTCAAAATTTACACACATGTAGAATATATCCATGTTAACATGTATGATTTTTTTCAGAATTTTTTAAAACTTTAAAATATGTTTTTCAATTTTTTCCAAATACCCACCTCCATAGAGGTCGACCGCCGTTGGCATTTTGCGATCACTACTTGGCATACTTTCCAGCCATGAACGTGTTGTATTTGCATCATTAAAAATTTACTCACTCCGTCTCATAATATAAAAACGTTTTTAACATTAGTATTATTTAGTTGCTTCTAGGTAGGTAACCACACGCCAAAAAAAAGTGAGGTCACTAGACAGTGCAAGTGGCTGGCTACACGCCCTAGCTATCTGCAGGGTGCTTGCAATCAACCATGCAAAAAAAAAGGTGCATGCGATCAGCTCAATATCATCTGCTGTACGAACGCAATCTCCGGGGCCGGAAAGCCCGATGGGCCGCTTGTATGTATGTGCCGGTCATGTCACTCAAAGGCTCAAGTGGCGTTTTCAAGTGACATGACTCGCCAACGTTAATCTCACAGTAGGAAAGCCTCTAGAAGGCCAGGTCCTGGTCATTGAGAAATTATTGGGTCTACATACGTCTGAGAAACCCTAAAGGAAACATACGGCTGAGAAAGAACAAATATGCTTGTCTCCCTAGTCCTCACCACAGTTATCTCTTTATTATCAATTTTTCATATTTTAAAACATTTTGAGACATTATTTTCATGTTTATATATACGAGAATTCTGACTCCGATTGGCTACTTTATGTCTGTATTCTATATTTTTTAATTATGTACGCCATATTCATTATTTTCTGAACACATATATTCTTTTCTTATGAAATGAAAATACCGTAGAATGATTGTTCTACGGTTTCGGCTAAAAAAAGTTAAAATAGAAATGAAAAGTACAAGCCACACATGATTTTAAACATGTTAGTTTTCACCACATACATCGCAACTAATATAATGCAATGGATAGATACACAAATTATTTTAACAGATCAGGAGAAGATTACCTTTGAGGAGAATGAAGCCTTACTTACCCACTTTTCTGATGAGGAGATCTTTGAGATCATTTGCAAGGCCAATTCTAACTCGGTGTCGGGCCCGGATGGCTTTTCCATTCCTTTCTTTAGGAAGTTCTGGCCCCAGCTGTGCAATCTTGTCTGTGTTGTTATCCAAGGTTTCTGTTGGGGACGGTTGATATATCTTGGTTGAGTTACGCTGTCATCACCCTCATCCCTAAAGTCAAGGGTGCCGATATCATCTCTCAATTCATACCCATTGCTCTCATTAATAACTTTGCGAAATTGGCTGCCAAGGGCTTTGCCACGCGCCTCTCCCCCGTCGCTCATCGAGTTCTCTCCCCTTTCCAATCAGCTTTAGTCAAAGGGAGATTCATTCTGGACGGGATCCTGTGTCTTCATGAAATTGTTCATGATATCCATATGAGAGGTACCAAGGCGGTGATCCTTAAGCTTGAATTTGAGAAGGCCTATGACTCGGTTAGTTTGAAGTTTTTGCAGCAAGTCCTACTCGCAAAAGGCTTTGATGGGGCCTACGTGCACATGATTATGCAGTTAGTGACGGGTGGTCACATTACGGTCTCGCTTAATGGCAGGGTTAGTAATTTTTTCAACAATGGCAGGGGCCTTAGGCAAGGAGACCCGGCCTCCCCTCTTCTGTTTAATTTTGTCACGGATACCTTATCCAACATTTTGTGGACGGCGGCTGCGGCTGGGCACATTTCCCCCGTTAGCTCTCACCTCGTCCCGGAGGGGATAACCCACCTCCAATGCGCAGATGACACAATTATGAGCGAAGTTATTGTTACAGGGATGTCAAATTCCGAGGCCCTGCGGGTCTCACATCTGCTTAATTGTTCTTTGGGCTCCTTTCCTCTCAAATATCTTGGCCTCCCTATCTCTCATGAGAAGCTCCTTGCTAGAGACTTCGCTCCCGCGGTAACTAAAGTGGGCAGTCGAGTTATGCCTTGGAGGGGCAGATATAATACCACTAGTAGAAAAGGGGGGTTTTCGTTCGGGCCTGGCCAGCCCATTAGTCCTGGTTCTTCCACGAACCGGGATCAATGGATGCATTCGTCCCGGTTCGTGAGCCCAGGGGGGCGGCCGGGGCCTCGTGGGCATTGGTCCCGGTTCGTATGGACCCATTTGTCCTGGTTCCAGGCACGAACCGGGACCAATGGGCCTCGCTCCTGGCCCACAAACATTGGTCCCGGTTCTTGGCTCGAACCGGGACAGAAGGCTGGGCTTTAGTCCCAGTTCCAGCCATGAACCGGGACAAATGAGTTGCCTATATATACCCCATCGCTGCAGCAGAGCACTCCATAGTACTCTGTTTTTTCTGGCCGGCGAGGAGAGGGCATTTGGGTGCTCTAGCTCACCTCCTATGCACACGAGGTGTTCGATGAAATGCCCAAGCCACGCTAGTTAAGCTTTTTCCTCTCGAAGCTCGACCTCCAAGCTCCATTTTCCCCGAGATTTGTCTAGGTTTAGTGGTTCGTCACGTCCTGTCCCCGTCTTCACCGCCGTCGATCGCCCGCGCCGATCTCGTCGCCTGCACCACTGTGGTGAGCCTCTTATCTTCTTCTGAAAGAAAAAAAATTCTTACTTTAGATAGATACTTGTCTAGTTTTCTTACTTTATTATTGCTTGTGCTTATATAGTGCGATGGTTTTGGTATCCGCCCCCGTCGGCCCTCGTCCTGGCTATGATTCGGATGTGGTATATATTATCTTTTATAACTATTTGGTTCATTTATTGTTTATGACAATTATGCCCATCAAGTTGACATAGATTTTATTTATGTAGGAGGCAGTTGAACCGGAAATTCCAACCGACCCTATTGTCGAGAGGTTAAATTTAGTTGAAGAAGAAAATAATTACTTGAAGGAAAACATAAAAAGATTAAGGAGGAGGAGATGATATTGGTGTTGCATGTTGCGGATGTCGTCCATGATCACAAGATCAAGATGGATGCAATGCGGTTGAAGATGAGAAAGATTAGAAAATATGTCATTCATACCGAGGCTTGGTATCATTATGCCGTTGGATCAATTTTTACCTTGGTTGTGATTATGATCGCATTTATTATTGCATTGAAAGGTTTCACATAGTTTCAATATATGGTTTAACTAGATGCTCTAGAGAGCTATATGTTGTTCAATGAGAACTATGTATGTACTTTGTTTTTAATGTGATGATGAACTTCTATTAATTTGGTCACTTATCTATCCATGTGAATCTGTAATGGTTTTTGACACACATAATGTGATGATGAACTTCTATTATTTTGGTCACTTATCTATCCATGTGGCTTTGAATGGTGCATTTTGAACACACAAAAAGTCTGGAGTTGAAATAAGTTCAAATAAATGAGATCCCTTTGTAACAGATGAGTTTTCGTCCGAAACCTTGATACTTCGAAAGAGATTGTCCATTTTGTACACGAAGTGCATCCAGTTTTTGTCGTAACCCTCTCAACTTTTTAGTATATGCTATGTGGGTGAAATGATGATACCATGCCAACTTTCAACCTTTTTAGAGTTCATTTGTAGTGTTTTTCAATTTCAGGGTCATTCAGCTCAAAAAAAATTAGTAAATGCATGAAAAATAACAAATGAAGTCAGAAAGGATTGAAAATTGATGATGTGGCTTTGAAAGGTGCATTTTGAACACAGAAAAAGTATGGAGTTCAAATAACTTCAAAAAAATGAAATCCCTTTGTAACAGACGAGTTTCCGTATGAAACCCTTATACTTCGAAAGAGATTGTCTGTTTTGTACACGAAGTGCATCTAGTTTTTGCCGTCACCCTCTCAACTTTTATGCACATTCTATGTGGGTGAAATGATGATACCATGCCAACTTTCAACATTTTCAGAGTTCATTTGGAATGTTTTTGAATTTCAGGGTCTTATAGCTCAAAAAATGAATAAATGCATGAAAAATAACAAATGAAGTCAGAAAGTGTTGAAAATTGATGATGTGGCTTTGAATGGTGCATTTTGAACACACAAAAAGTCTGGAGTTGAAATAAGTTCAAATAAATGAAATCCCTTTGTAACAGATGAGTTTTCGTCCGAAACCCTGATACTTCGAAATAGATTGTCCATTTTGTACACGAAGTGCATCCAGTTTTTGTCGTAACCCTCTCAAATTTTTAGTACATGCTATGTGGGTAAAATGATGATAC